TCCACTAGCAGATCACGTGCAGATCACGTGGGCCCCTTAGTGGCAGAGGACACATGCCTTTCATTTCCACAATGGAATATGTGTTGAATATTTATGGAGTATCAAGAGTCAGGAAGGGGTGTGTGACCCACAGGTGGACAAGATCCCTGCTTCCCTGGACCTGGCTTTATGGGCAAGAATAAGCCATCTGATCAATAAATGAGCCTGTTATAACATTTTACTCTTCAGAAGGAATGTTCCCTGTCTGTCTGTGTGTTTTGCCTCCAGGACATGCTTGGAAGCATCAGGGGCTCCTGCTTTTCTGCTTTTATAAATCTCAGGGTGGACAAGGCCCAGTGAGCTCTGCTGGTCCCCACCAGCAGCTCTGTCCTCTGCTCTGGCATCCCAGAAGCCCCGTCTCTCACTTCAGTCCATAAATCTTTCCTTCGCAAACTGGAAGCCTTCCCGTGTGCCCCGCTCTGCCCACGAAGTGAACCCTGAAGACTCTTGGCTGACGGCTCTGTGCATTACCATTCCTAGACAAGCAGCAGGATGGGATTTAGATGTCCTCTGACAACACACCCATCAGGAGACACTCTGCCTCAATTTACCCAACACAGATCAAGCTTGGGCACAAGACATTTCCTTGGGGCTGGGATAGTTTAACATGTTAATGCTTTTACAAGCCTTTAGCATCTCATCATGCCTAGTTCCGTCGATATTAGAAGCTGAAAACTGAATACCTGCTGAGACAAGTTGGCAAGACATCACCGTAGAGGTAAATATGAATATACCTTTATCATTCCCTTAGAAGTAAACACCAGTGATGTGTGGTGGCTTCTGGGATCCTAGCAGCCACACTTATTGATAAACAATATACTTGCTAACATATAAAAACATAACCTGGAACTAGAACCCACAACCTAGAACTATATATGCTCAGTATACTCACACTGTGAACATCATAGCCCTGTTCTATTCTATAAAGACACCAAGAAACTTGGAAGGAGAAATCACGCCTTCCAGGAGACTTGATTGTCAGGCAGAGGCATTTTTCAAATTTGGAATTAGCCTATCATCATCAATTGATTCTTTTCCATGGCAAAATGGAGGGGTGCTTGTTATTATGTCAGAATAACACCCGTGGCCTGATGTCATTACTGAATGGCACTTCGTTAATGTGTGATGGTGAAGAGGGTTGGCTCTGAAGCCAGCAAGCATGATGGGAACCCTGGCTCTACCACGCATGGACTGTGTAATCCTGGGTGAGTTACTCAACCTTTCTGTTCCTCTGTAATCATCCATAAGTAGTCGGATAAATAGTATTACCCACCTTAAAATTTTGAGCAGGATTAATGAGCCAATACCTTTAGAATGCTTATAGTAGTTTCTGGTACATAATAAGCACTCATTAAACACTGTCACAAAAATAATTAGATTGCTCCTGCCTTGGGAGTGAGCTCTATCTATCTGTCTCCATCTGTCCATCTTTCTAACGATCATCAACCAATAGATGAGTCTAGGAGATCTAAAGAAAACTGATTCTAATCTACAAAGTCTAAAGACAAAGATGTTCTGAGGATGCACACCTCAGAGTACATTAAAGTCTTTCACATATATTCACATGTTGCCGTTAAGGTAAAATTCCCCCATTATCAAACTCTAACAATATTTTTGGTCCTAAATGTAGAATGTTAAATTCATTTCTTCTAATTTTACCTATTTTAGGCTCAAAGCCCCAGACTCTTCATTCATTATTTTTCCAAATTCTAGTTTTTAACAAATGTATTTCCCACTAAAGAAGCATAAAATCTTGGGACACAAAACAAGATGTTTTCATATTACCATAATTCATATCAACACACTGACTGGCTTTTCCCCATACCTAGTGCACCACATCTCCTCTGAATACAATAACTTCTTGGGGGTGCTCATGGGGATCTGTGGTGGACTTCCACGTCTCTCCCTGGAGAGCAGAGGGCTCCCCGCCCTCGTGAGGAGCAACGACTCCACGGATGAGAATCTTCCGCAGGAAGAGCGCCCACTTCTGGGAGTGCTCTGGAATCCTGCCTAAAGGATGCAATGAGGATCACAGACACAGAGAAGGCATTCATCTTTGAGTCTTTGTACAATGAGTTATTAATGTAGACAGTAGACTATGACAAGCACATCAGAGATAATTAATTAGATCCCCTGAACCTACATATGTCTCTGGATTAGTAACAGAATCAGGTGTCACCCAGCAAAGTGTGCACATTGTTCAGGACACGGTGGTCTGTGGACTCTGGTTTTTTCATCTGACCATGGGGCTAACCTTCAACCCTCTGCCATGGTCCAGTGAGACGAAATCTCCACCTTATGCAGTTGTTAAAGTGACAACTGAGCTAAGAACTGTACTACCTCTCAAAGTACCGTATGTGTCAAGATGAGCAGGGGAGAATGTAAGCGTAGTCAGCCCTTGGTAGCAGAGGGTTCTGCAGCCATGAATCCAAACAACCACAGAGGAAATATATTTAAAAAGATAATTGTATCTGTACAGAACACATACAAGTTTTTCTTGTCATTATTCCCTAATAATACAGAAGAATATCTATTTATTTAGCATTTACATCATTCTAGGTATTATAAGTAACCTAGAGATGATTTAAAGTATATATGAGGACATGTGATTGTGAAATGCAGAAACCTCAGAGTTCTATATGAGATCTGAATGTCCATGACATCTGCAGGTGCCAGAACCCAGAATCAATATCCCACAGGTTGTGGGGGATGACTCTAAACTACTCAGACACACACAGAAAGAGAGAGAGAGAGAGAGAGAGGATTCTCAACTTACTATGCACTTAGCTCATTGTAACTTGGCAACATTGTATCTTGAAGCTGCATTTATTACACTTACCTTAGCATACATCAAGCTTAGCCACGCGACAGACACACTGCAGAGTGCTCTCCCCTCACGGTTGCAAGGCTGACTGGGAGCTGCACATCACTTCCCTTGCGCAGGACCCCAACAGACTATCATTCCACATGTTGTTATCCTGAAAGATTAAAATGTAGAACCTGAAGTACAGTTTCTACTGAATTCATAACCCTTTCACACCACGGTCAAGTCAAGGGTGTCTGTGTACCAACACACATATTTAGGATTAGAATCATCAAGAGGAGTTGAATTATGTGGGAACTACGGAGCTGATTATGAGAATTTTGTAGTATCAATTCCAGTCCAAAGGGAAAGGCCTGAGAAGTCCAAGTCCTAGGACAGAAGATGAATGTCACAGCTCAAGTAGCCACAGAGGCCAAGTCAACCTTCCTCTCCCTTTGGTTCTGTGCAGGCCTCAAGGGACTGGATGGCACCCATCCACATGGGGACTGGATGGCACCCATCCACACTGGGGAGGGCCCTTAGGTTATGGAAGCCACAGATTGAAACATTTATGTTCCTCTTCAAACACCCTCATAGATAGATGCAGAAATACTGTTTAACCAAATGTCCTGGCATGCATGATCAAGTCAGGCTGACAGAACACCAGCCAACACAGAAGACAACCAGCACAAGTGTGACAACGGCACAAAGCTGGCCACAGGCCCGGATTTCCCCTCTCGGGCTATGAGACCAAATATTCCCCCCGTAAGACGCCATGGCAGGCTTTCTGCAGAGGGACAGGAGGTCTGGCAAGCGGGCGAGGTGAGTCTCTGTCATGGTGTGCACGTGTTGGTACCACTCCTAGGTGTCTAGACCCCGCCTCCCTTCTTCAGTGCTGGTGGAAATGTGCATGGTGGATGCACACATGATATACACACGCATGGTGGAAGGCAGCCCAGGGCAACAAATCTGCACGGGTGGCTACACCCGCCTTCTCAGATAACTTTCAGGTGATCTGGCTCAAGCGCCTCAGACCTTTCTGAACCCTGGCTTGTTTCCGGTCCCCTTCCATTTATTTATTTAAACCTCAAGTGATACAAGGATTGCCTTGAAACTCCAGGCAGCATTAAGCTAATTCATCTTTTGTGTCTCAAGACATTAAATCTTCACAATCAAGAGACATGTCATGCTCAATTGAGGTTTCCAAATATAAAGACATTTTAAAGTGTTTATCATGAAATAGCACTTATTCTGCATCAAAACTATCTATAGCTGAAAGGGCTGTCAGATCAAAGGCACCATCTCCAAGTGTAGAATACAAGAGGAAATTAACTCCTCTCAACTCTTCTAGTCTGGAGCAGAAAAACTCACAGGCTTTTCTTCCTTTGCTGAAATTCCTAAGATTGTGACGAATTTAAATTCAATTCAACCTCTGCACAGAAGCAGGTGCGCTGTGAGGAACACAGGAGTCAGCATTGCTGTTTTTCAAGTGAACAAAACATTCAGCCTGAGGGTGCTCCTCTGACGAAGTCAAAGCAAGGAGGCTGTTTCTGAAGACACAGTTCTGCCCCCCGGGAACTCACTTCTGAGTCTTCGCTACCAAAAGGGGAGGCCAAACAGTGTGTTCCAGAAAAAGGCAGAACACAAAACACTGCCTTCAAACAGACCCTGGGAGGAAACGGAAAGAACACAGAACGGATCCTAACTGAATTAGGGGACACAAACCCAGCCACTCGGAACAAAACGACATAAAACATGTTTTTACTGCAGAGTTGAAACATATTAACATTCAAACACATGAAAATACGAGTCATCAAACTGATGTCATGTATGAAAACAGTAGTCACCAAACTAATGTCCCACGTGAACACAGCAGCCGTCAGACACGTCACACGTGATGACAGCAGTCATGAAACTAATGTCACACGTGAACACAGCAGCCGTCACACGTTACACGTGACGATAGCAGTCATTAATGTCACACGTGAACACAGCAGCCGTCATACGTCACACGTGACGACAGCAGTCATGAAACTAATGTCACACGTGAACATGGCAGCGTTGACTTCCACTGCGTGAAGACCATGGAGCCAGCGTTGCGCAGCGGGCTTGCTGTCGAGCAGGGCGCCGCTTACTTAGAGAGAACTCCTGGGGACACCTGCAGGAACAAGGGGCGGGGGCAGCTGCGTCTGCGGGACCCAGCCCTGCGGGGAGGGCACCTCCACCAGCACCGTCTGACAGGTACCAGGGGAGCCGGCGGCGGGCGGTGACCGGAAGTGTCCAGTCAAGCCCGGCAGGCTCCGGACACTCGCCCTGACACGCAGGGCCTTGGGGTCCGCCAGGCCTGTGTTTGTGCGCTGTTGAATCCCCGCGGTGGAATGGCTGTCCGCCTGCCTGTCATCATGGGTGCATGTCATTACTGCCTGTGACCCAAAACAGACAGCCGCAGTGGGGACAGAGTCTGGCGATCCCAGAGCGTCCACTCCAGACCGGCACACAGCCTTTCCCTCGGACCCAACCCCGGAGTCCGCAGAAGTCCAGCGTGCTACTTCATCTTTCCTCTGGATTCCACCCTGATTATTCTCCTTCCCAGCACCTGCTCTCTCGTTGCCGGCAGCCATGAACACAGCTTTTGCTTTTCTATTGTAAGCACTAGACTGATTTCCACAGGGGAGGGGTCCTCAGTGAATCCCAGACTTTGGAAGCCTGCCGGGCAGGGGGAGGACGTCCAGAGCCCAGCTCAGGCTGCTGGAGCCAGACGGCTGTGGGGGATGCAGGCTGTGTCTCTGTCTCAGCAAGGCTGGGACGGACAAGGGCAGGAAGCCTGCCAGTGTGATTAAAGCAACAAGTCATTCCCCGCTACACAGGGGTCGGGATGAGTGGCAGCGAAAGGGATGGCTCTCTCTAAGGCTTACAGGGTAGAGAGTGGATTTGACAGGCAGAGTGGACAGTGAGAGAGAGAGACAGAGAGAAAGGTCTTCCTTTGCCGTTGGTTCACCCTCCAATGGCCGCTGCGGCCAGCGCATTGAACTGATCCAAAGGCAGGAGCCAGGTGCTTCTCCTGGTCTCCCATGGGGTGCAGGGCCCAAGCACCTGGGCCATCCTCCACTGCACTCCCGGGCCACAGCAGAGAGCTGGCCTGGAAGAGGGGCAACCGGGACAGAATCCGGCGCCCCGACCGGGACTAGAACCTGGTGTGCCGGCGCCGCAAGGCGAAGGATTAGCCTAGTGAGCCGCGGCACCGGCCGTGTTTTTTAGTTTTTTTAAATTAGTTATTTTTTTAATTTTAAGATTTACTTATTTATTTAAAAGAGTTAGAGAGAGAGAGGGATGACAGAGCGAGATCTTCCTGAGCCAGGCTTAAACCTCTGCCATGACACAGCCCTGCCGCGCTCTCTGCTCGCTGGTTGGCAGCTCTCCCCTGCATTTGTTCCGCCACCCACCTCCCTCCTCCCACACCAGACCAACAGTGCCGTTCCCGGGTGGACTGCGAAACCACGAGCCCACAGAGTCTCTCCCTTCACAAGCAGCTTCTCTCGGGTCTCAGGGATCGTGAGGAAAAGTTGAGCAGCGCCCATAGGGGATGCCAGCATTGCAGGTGGCAGTTTTACCCACTACACCACAAGGCAGGTCCATTGTTTTTATTGTTTTAAACTTTAATTAGTTATTGTCAAGAGTAAAGAGAAATTTTGGAATGAAGATTTGAGACCAATGCCAATCAGCGGGGAGGGAGGGGCACTGGCGTTTGTGTACACAGAAATCCATCATTCACTTATTTGGCAACTACCCTCTGAACACACTCTTGTCCCAGCTCCATTCAAGCACATGGGATGAGTCCAAAAGAAATACAAGACAGGGTTTCCCTGTCCATGTTCCAGTCTCCCCAGGGAGGTTATGCACACACGTGACTACTACACGGGAGGGAAATGCTGTGGAAGTCAGGACAAGAGTGTGTTCTCAATGTGGGCCACAGGCAGGACGTGGGACAGGTGTGCTGGCTACTTACAGCAGAGGAGGCTATGATGGTCTCGTAACAAAAAGAAGAGGGGGGCAAGGAGGAAAGCATGCGTGAGCTCCAGGGCGTCTATTTCAGAGGGGAAGGGAGGGGAAGGGAGAAGGAAAGGAGAGAGAGACGTTCGCAGGTTTCATGACTGAACATTGCCTTGTTCTCTTGCTCTCCGCTTCTCCCAAACCTCCTGGTTCCTGCTTACTGCACATCAGGGCCACAACGTTAAATAATGATTTTCTGTGTTTTTCCCTGTTTGCTCCCTGTACATGAATCTATCAGCATGTCAGCAAGCAACTTTTTAATTACAACTGTAACCTGCTAATAGCATTTCTTTGTTGTCCAAAAGAATCTTCCTATCTGGCTGAGCCTAAATTAAAACTTAATATAGCGTCAAGTTTCCACAGAGCTACCAAGCAAATGACAGCTGCTTAATTAAAACCCAAACCTGGTCAGCAAACCCTACTGAGATAAATACTTGGGGTAGAAGCATGAAACTCCTGAAATCCAGCAATGACTTTGAAATGTGCGTTAATCCTTCTGTGCTGTCCCTGTGCAGTGGGTGGCACTGGCAACCTCACCGAGCCATGAGATGCTTGGCTAGAAGCTTGGGCCAATTTTCAATAGTGAAACAGAACTAATAACCTGATTTTTAAAAACAGGGTGAAAACCTGATAGATGCTTTTACAATGAGGACATAAAGTGGCCAACAGGTATATAGAAAGAAATTCAATGTCACTGATCATCAGGAAATGAAAATCCAACCCACAGTGAGGTATCGCCCCATACCTGTATACCAGTTAGAATGGTATATATATATATATATATATATATATATATATATATATGTAAAGATATATGAGGGGGGAAGTGGAGAAACTGGAACCCTTACACACTGTTGGTTGGAATGTAAAGTGGCCAAGTCACTACTGAAAACAATATGCAAGTTCCTCAAAAAAATTAAAAATGGAATTATTTTATGATGCGACAATACCATTTCTGATGTTTAGCTAAAAGAATTGAAATCAAGATCTTAAAGAGATATGAACACTCCTATATTCATTGTATTCATAATGGCCAAAATCCAGAAACAACCTGATGTCCACAGATGGGTGAGTGGATAAAGACAACATGGTTGTGCATACAACAGAATGCTACTTGTTCAGCCTTTAGAAACATGAATTCTCCCATACACAACAATGTGGACAAAATTTTACCACGAAATAAGCCAGTCACACAAGGACAAATCTGCATGAGCTCACTTATATGAGCTATCTAAAATAGTAAAATAAAATAGTCAAAGTAATAGAAACCAAGAACACAATGCTGGCTTCCAAGTGCTGGGGTAGGAGAAATAGGGAGTTAGTTATCAATGCACCTGATGCTGCAGTTAACCAGGATAAACCAACTCCATAGAGTGGAACATAATCCTTACGGTCAACAGCATCGCACTGTAGGCTAAAAGCCACCAGCAGTGTAGATCTCACAGTAAGTGTTCCTGCCACGATAAAATAAAATCTGCAACAACCAAACGGCACCCACACCACACAGCACTGAGAAAGGAGGCTGGCCAGCAGCAGGGGCTCAGTGTACTGTCCCTCCATTCCTTAGTCTCCGTTTTTCCTCCTAGAAAATTCTTACTCATCCTTCAAAATATCACTGCTATCTCACCTTTTCTTTAAAGTCTAGATGACTCTGTCCTTGACTCAAATGTGACCTCAAATATGACCAGGCCCAAGTATCTCCCAGAACAGGTGCTGTAAGGTGAGCCCCTTGTGTGTAAGGAGGGGTCAAATTAAATTTCCTGAGTCAAAGGTTCCTACAAGGCCTAGAACAGAGAGGCTGTGTGGATTAATCAGCAAACTCTACATCACTAGGGGACACCTCACAGGCTAACCCAGGGGCTCTGTTGAAGGGCAGGTAGTTCAGAGGACGGAGGGGCCCGGGAGAGACCCGAACATCTGGGCCCTTCAACCTGCACCTGCCATCCTCTGCCCCCGAAAGACTAAGGTTCATCTCATGAGAGAGTGTTTACCTTAAAACCCCTCTAAAATGTCAAAGCAGTACAAAGAAGGCTCTATGTCTTTATGGGTAAATAGGACAGAAAAAATGGTTTGTTTTCCTCCCCGAGTCTCTATATATATTTATTATCCGTCAAAGAAGTCTGAAAGAAGGTGGCAATAAATAAATTCTGTTAAACATACTAACATACTTTCCTTTTTTTTTTTTTTTTGACAGGCAGAGTGGACAGTGAGAGAGAGAGATAGAGAGAAAGGTCTTCCTTATGCTGTTGGTTCACCCTCCAATGGCCGCCGCGGCCAGTGTGCTGCGGCCGGCGCACTGCGCTGATCCGATGGCAGGAGCCAGGTGCTTTTCCTGGTCTCCCATGGGGTGCAGGGCCCAAGCACTTGGGCCATCCTCCACTGCACTCCCTGGCCACAGCAGAGAGCTGGCCTGGAAGAGGGGCAACCGGGACAGAATCCGGCGCCCCGACTGGGACTAGAACCCGGTGTGCTGGCGCCGCAAGGCGGAGGATTAGCCTAGTGAGCCGCGGCGCCGGCCATACTTTCCTTCTTTAGCTCTTTTCTGCGCTTTGAATCCTGCAAGAACACACAGCGATGTTAGGGGGAGATAGAACAGGCATGCCTGTTAGTGCAATCCGTGAATTCAGCGAAGCACGAATTAGATGCCTGCTAAATTATCCTAATACGGAAAGAACCTTCCCGACGCACTGCCCAGCACGAGGCAAGCCTCTAGCACTCAGAAACACGGACATGAACCTGTGGTTTCAGAAGCGTTTCTTTCAAATGGTAAGACATTCACTCCTATTCACAAGGGGACTAGTTTTCATGTCCACATAATCAAGGTAAAAAATGATAGGCCTTTGTTATCTCACTAGAAAAAAATAAGGCAAATTCGGTGTAACACGCCATTTTAAGACAAAACTGATTTTTCTTATCCTTGGGTAAATATCTCACTAATTTGAGGAAACAATTTGGTTTTAAAATTTTTTGTACAAAGAATTCTTACCTTGAAAACAGTGTCCTCTGGGCAGTTTAAAAAATAAATTTTTATATTTTTAAGTTTTTTTTTGACAGGCAGAGGTACAGTGAGAGAGAGAGAGAGAGAGAGACAGAGAGACAGAGAGACAGAGGGAAAGGTCTTCCTTCCATTGGTTCACCCCCTAAATGGCCACCACAGCCGGCACACTGCGCTGATCTGAAGCCAGGAGCCAGGTGCTTCCTCTGGTCTCCCATGGGGTGCAGGGCCCAAGCACTTGGGCCATCCTCCACTGCACTCCCTGGCCACAGCAGAGAGCTGGCCTGGAAGAGGAGCAACCGGGACAGAATCTGGCACCCCAACCAGAACTAGAACCCGGGGTGCTGGCACCGCAGGTGGAGGATTAGCCTA